AAATCTGCGATGCACTGAAATTATGTTTGGCTTCAAGCGTTTTTACTTTCCGACGAAATCTTTATCGTTGAACCAGTGGGATAGCAGTGGAGTCACTGGTCTTACTCATTGTAGATAAGCTATACATGTACAAAGTGGAATCAAACCTATTTAACCAACACGATTTGGAAGCATGAATATTGTGAAGGTATGTTGATGACACTTTTGTTGTACACAAAAGCCAAGGTATAGAAAATCTTATCGAATATCTCAGCAGACATTTTTAATCCCATAAAAATCACTTGTGAACTAGAAACAGAATCCAGAACGCTAGGTTTCTTAGGCTGCAGGACCACACGAAATAACGATGGAACGTTTCATATTGATGTTTATCGAAAGGATACATATTTCAATATGTAACATGACTTCCATTCAGCTCATCCATTAGAAATTAAGTTAAACGTCGCCAAAAATTTGTTGACGAAGTTGAAAAGGAAATCTAATACGATGGAATCTCAGAAAGCAGATAGGCAACTCGTTAGTCGTCAAACAAAACAGCTGTCTAGAAAAGCTGTTAAAAAGGATAGGAAGAAGTTTATCGAAAAAAGACATAAAAAGTCAACCCACAAAAATTGGTGACTACTGCAACACTTCCTTATTGAACACCCACTTTGGAGGAAATAAGATGTATTCTTAACAGTCACAACATAAGAGTGTTCGTTTAGGTGACGAACACTTTACAGTCACACCTTTTAACAAATTAAAAGACCCAAACCTCCATCTGAAACAACAGAACTGCGTTTATAATGTAGACTATAATGAATCCAGTACCACATACATTGAAGAGACATCATATGGAGTGCTAACACGTCTAAACGGAAATGGTCGAAGTAGCAAGTAGCAATCAAAAACAGTGATCTTGAAAAACCCGGAGAAAACTCTATCATCGTGGCTCATTCCTTATATTCAGGTCATAAAATAGCATCCGAAAAGGTAGAAGTCTTGTAAAAGGGTTTGCTTTCTCACAGAGAGTGGACCATTTCAGAAGTTTTGTACATCTTTTCATACCCTACTTAGGTCAACACAAAAAATGGGTTAGATATCCCACAAATATGGCAAACATTGATGACTCGCACAGACAGTTGCAAATGATATATGAAGAGAAGGTAGAACACAATCTCATTTCACTGTATTCCACATAATTCATTCCGAATTCATTGATGTTTGAATAGTTTCCGCTGTTATTTCTCTTAATCGTCTTAATCACTTCAAAGAAATATTCGCTTCACTTTAATGACTTGTCGGATCTTATTCCGTAATACTTAGTTGATTTACTATTTCCAACCAATTTACGTTCTCTTCTGAGTTATATACATTTCGTGGACCGTTCCTTATATTACGCAATCCATTTTGTTATCATTCATAATTTGACCGTTATTATTATTGTCACACATCGTTTGATTTTCAGATATTCATCTTTCCAAAATTATAATTTTTTCTTACTGTTCCCAGATGACTCACAACTCTGTAGTAGTTTTCATGGTCGAACTAAATTTCCCCACCTTATTTTTGTTCCGCCTGATTTGCACAACTGAAAAAGCCTCTCTGACCGATTCGCTAATTCACTCACCAACATTATATCACCCTTTCTTCCACATTAAGATGTAAGTGGATGATCAATAAGGTCACCATCTGCACCAAAACTTGAATAATAACCTGAAAACTTAACATCAGATTAACACTCATGAAAAGGATCTTCCTAGCAAGATGGAAACATTGAAGAGGAATGATACGATATATTTGTTTATTTTATCACTTATTCTCATGTACTACGCCGGGAGAACACAAATAAAAATACACCTTGTACAATGAGTCATACTAACTTGGTGCCCAATTTTTTCCAAACCATCCACTCCATTGTCGGTGAGGATACGTTCAAACTATCCATTCTCGCCTAAAGAAAGATGCATTCATCATTCTACAACACACGGGTGATCCAAATAGCCGGACGGAAACATATTGGCATCGGTAAAACATATTATACGGCTAAGGTACTCATTACTAGAAATTCGAAGCCTATATACCCATCAAAACCTTGAAACAGGTGAAAGACTAATTAATATCCAGTGTATCTACCAATTTCAATGTACATATAGTCTCATAGAGAGGACTCAGAGGTCACTAACAGTACTTATTCCAAAAGGTGGTCCGGAAACAAATAGAATGGCCTACTGGGAACAAATGTCTGAGCTCAACAATGGCTTGACGTGTTACTGAAACAGAGCATAAAATGGATTTGTCTATGTCATTCAAACCCATGTGTAGTACTTATTGAGGACACATTTCAAAGCCATTTGGAAGGTCCAAGCAACATTCATATGTTCGAAAATAATTCGTCCTAGTGTCATTTATTACTTACTATCATAGCCCACTGAGACCTGTAAGTTTACAATTCAACTGAGATGTGGAAATAGTAAATTATGCAATACATGTTGTTGATTGACATTAGATGCTATCAAAAGCTAACACTGGATGGATTAAGTAGTGAGATCAGGTGAGCTGAAAAGTGTGAGAAGCGTGACTATGAACTGTGAGTCATATTTTATAAGCAAAAGGTGTGTTGATAACATTCAAGATGAAATTTCATGAATTCACACTGTTTATGATCATTTTATGATATATGATATATCTTGGTCCTGCATGTTTCTTCAAGAGTTCATGTTTTACCAAATTAGAAGAAATGAAGAAAGAACAGCACACACTAGTCTGTAACTTAGACCTATGTCTAAAGTGACAGAGTAGAATAAGACGTAGTTATTATTCATACTGAAGGCAGTGATATACTAGAATTGAATACCAAATGTGACTATACCTCTTCAGCACCTTATTCTTCTCTGAGTCAAGCAGATACCTAAGGACGAAATCTCACATCTGACTGCAGGGACGACAACTTTACTTAATAAGCTATGATATATATATATATATATATATATATATATATATATATATATATATATATACGAATAATAATTGAAAAAGATGCTGATATGAAATAACCAGGAAGAAAGTTTGGAATAGGACAATAATTTCAGTGCGTATGTCGAACATAATTTTGAAAGTAAATCTTCCTTTCAATAATCGTAACATACAAATGAAAATAAATCCACACCATAAGTCAAAGTATTTTACACAGATACATTGTTATCATGTTTCGACAGCAATTCAAGGGAATTCGCGAAGCTTGAAAAGTCTTCCCAAGGGAGCTGAAACACCAAACAAGGACATGCGTTTTCACATATAATCAGGCGCACTGTTTATCTACCATCATTCGCTTGTTTGGAAACCGACAAATGCTTTACAAAATGTTTAGACATTTTTCACCCAATTTTCGGTGATGGGAGAACGAGCTTAAAATTCTACGGTTGTGCTGGAACTCACTACGAAATTCGTCTGGCAGCAACAGTTTCGAAGATGGAGATATTCAGGTGGGAAGAGAATAAAATTCTGAATACTCAGTGAACGGTTACTCTTTCTAAATAAGTGTGTCTGTTTAATGACGTCTGCCTGTAATCTGAACGCGATACAAGGATTCATCTGTGAATCAAATCAGATGGACAGGAGGATGTCACAACTATGTAGACTGAATTCGCAAATTCGCGATAGACCAGAGAATCCAGGTGGGAAGATAGTGCATGAGTGAACATTCCAGTGACAATCGAAAATTATATTCACTTGCGTACAGTTGTCAATGAATAATAACTTCTTCTACGACCTCTAATGAAGAGCACTAACAGCTTCACTAAAATGACAGAAATTTCAACGTGTGTAGAAGGGCGTTGGATTATAAACGGTAACATTTGTTCGCAATTAGAGTGCTCTCAGTATAAACCAATGAACTTTTCATTGAAACCTCGCAGAAGGAGCGAGCTAGGATCATCTTGCAGAGCATACACCTGGAAGTGAGTTGCATAACTCGCGTCAATATGCAGTACTCCATTAGTGTTTGAGCACTAGTTGTGTCATCATGATGACATTCAGATGGACCGATTGATTGAACCAAGTGAGAATAGCAGGCACGCTTTCTTTCACCATGAAAACGTTTTGCCTAAAATTGACTCCACACAAAGTCAAGTAAAATCCGTTGTTATGGAAATTCATCGGAATCATTTGTAGTAATGATGACACAGATCACCGCCTCATAGTTAGAGCTCAAAATACAAAGCAAACTATCATCCTATGGTTACAACCTCCAACTTCTACGTGACTAACGAACTACCTCAGTTTGAAGTGACAGTGTTTATCCAACTAGTCTCTCTCTTCACACTTCACCTGAAAGAATTTACTATTAATGTTCCTCTAAAGTACAATAACGCTAATCCTGCTCACTGATATCAGTTCAGGCGTCAACTTATTTGAATGCGTTGAGTAGGGTTGATAAATCTGACTTAATTGCTCAACAAGCATCTGGGATATATTATTCACAAGATATTTCTGACGGGACTATCTGTCATTTATCCTTATAAATGTAAATTCGGCTCATTCGACTTATGTGATATTCGAATTGTGGATGCGATGCGAATGAAAACTGCATCGTAGCCACAACCGTCGACATCGATCTAATACGTAATCATTGATAAAACAACAAAAATCCACTGCAGTTAGTTGATTCTTCCACGGGAAACAAAACAAATCATTCTCTTATATAAAGGTGCATGGTCGAAGAAAACCTATTCCACCAGCGAAAGAGTCAGTGCTCTAATAGTAATCGTGCTCTACTACAGTAAGACCATCATTCATTGAAATACAAACTATGCATGGATCTCAATAATGGCACTCCATCCAATTAGACTATTTTACATTGACAGTGAACTAACTGGGTGCCCACAAAATGAGAATGCAAGACAAAGAGATGAGTACCTCACCTATGTGTCCCCCCCCCCACTGCCTCCACCCACTCAGTATTCAACAATTTCCTAGAGATGTGCTACAACCCACAACTCGGGAGGAAGAAAACCACTGGTGAGTAGAAAAACCTTCGTTTATACTATAACCAGTGAAGTTTTGAAATAGCTGACAGAGTACCTTTTACTGAATGAAGACATGATTGGAAGATATTTCGAAAGGGCATAAGAGTCAAGTGAAGGCCACATACAGCCTGTTAGTGCTTATTTGGAATCCCACTCTGACCACGTTTCCAGTTCACAGGACAAACTTCACCATGCTTCTCGACAAATTGAAATGCATCCAACAGACGCAGCGTCTCATCCACACACCGTCCAACCGGTTTGTCATTGACTGTAATTTGACGAAGAACTCCCTTTTTATCAATGATGAATAGACCTCTGAAGGGTGAGAAAGGCAAACGATATAATAAGACATACTGCAGAATATAAGGGAATAAATCATTGTCACGACTAACATCTATATAATAGGCAACCTCTGTCTAAATGGTGAAATACTCCAACAATTCTGATTTTTTGTTCACAAGTGACTGCAAAGTGACAGATATCCACTAACACTTGGGATTGCAGGGAATAAATCAGTGAGGTCGTCACACATGTAGTCTTGTGCACTGGGTCGCTACATGCTCACAACCACTCGAAAAACATGAGGTTGAGAGGGTTGGAAAACTGCCACTAACTCATTGATCTAGGGTTGAACCGGGTTAGACCACTCACATCCTATTGAATTACTAGCTCTTGTACTTGACATTCAATCAACATCAATGTGATCACTGTGAGTCAGGTGACAATAAATCACAGTTAAGCTAAGCTACTTTGATCGCCATCAGGAAAGTCGTTTAGAATAATACTTTTCGAAGTTGTCACTGGTGACGATGACTAGGGCGATCATGATGACTTTAGCATCTTCCTATGACTCGATGTTTGTGTTACGCATTTTCCACATAATTTTAAATTAGCTGCTTTTCAATATCAGTTGAGGAGTGAATGAGGGGAGTCAAAGAAGATCAACACAATGTAGAGTGGCATTTCGGTGGACGATACTTTGACTGTGGCCGACAATGTCTTTACATTGGGAAGTGGTTCTTGTGTCTGTGTAACAGACCGAGGAATCTAGGAGTGACAGCCTGTATGTGTGTGTGTGTGTGAGAGAGAGAGAGAGGGAGAGGGTGGCGATTTCATTCATGCAGTCAAACAGGTTCATCTTTATCCTGATTCTCATTGATGCTTCTATCACTCCATCATCACATTACATATAGCCGAACAATATGACTTTACCATTTTACTAATAAACAAATCCTCATTAACATCGACAGGCTAACGAATAACACTTACACAGGATGATCTTTGTCTCACTGTTGATAACTTAAAATGACAAACTTCAGTTCACTAGCAGATAGAAGCGAACAGTTCAAAAATGTATAGGATGAATGTCACATGACAATAATTACACACTTATCCTCATCACCACTCACCTGAATGCATTGCCCTCCTCTTCATCAAGCACGCCATACGCTCTGGAGATGTCTTTCGTTTTGTCAGCTAACAGAGGGATTTTCATCTCACCTAGTCCACCTGATTTACGATCCATGTTTATCCACGCTAGGTGACTGTATTCAGAATCCGTGGAGCAAGCAATCACTTGACAATTTCGACTTCGGAATTCTTCAACCTGATCACTGAATGCGATGATTTCCGTCGGGCACACAAATGTACTAGAAATAATTGAGAAACAGTATACAAGGACACGGTGATGAGGATAGTGAGAAATGGACGTCCAGTCTACATTAAGCGTATTGAATGTGTACTAATGAATCTACAGATTGATTTGTGGATCAATTATTTTACTGCTCAAGACAAGCAATAAACATTCGGGAATTTATTCAGTTGAATCACTCACCAGAAATACTTACTCGACACAATAAATTTCCTTCATCAAAATATGACATCAACGATTCAGGGGAATTCAGATACGCACCAGTATGGCTCATCTATGGAATGAGTACAACAAATATTATTGTTCATTGTATCACTGAGTGATGCGGTTCCATTCAACCACAAATCACCAACACTATGGAACGAAGCTCTATTGCAAACATTACTGTCTACTGAATTGTAAGTCAGTGAGGATCACAGTGAGGCTCGTCTCAGCACTCATGGGTTCCTGATGACTTACCTGAAATCACTGACATAACATGACAGCATACAAGAAAATTGACACCTTATGAAGGACAGCTACGAAGTGAGGAAACAAATCACCTGTACAACATGAGTGGCAAAGTCACAAGTTGATCTTATTTTCAAGTAGTGTTGATTTATGAACTCTCACAAAACACTGTGTTCTTCATGCTTCTTCGTGTCCACATACTGTGTATGGAGAATTCAACAAGATATACAGAACCGCCTTATGAAGCCCTCTTATATATTATGCCATCAGGTTGAGAGACAGTCGTGAGGCCGAATTACGCATTTCCATCCCTCGCGGACATTGCAACTATTACACTGCAAGCCATTTGAACAGGTCACTTACATCACTGACCCCCTATCGAATGGCCATTCAGTTTACGAAACAAGCAGTCTGTGATGATCGAATTTCGACAGAATGATTGTGAAAGGGTCGCTGTGATTAACTCACTAGAAATCCTCCCTGACACATGTGATATTCTGAAGGCATGTTTGTCACACGTCACAACACAACAGTCGACAAGAATGACTCCAACCCATCTGACAAGCCGCTGTGCACAAACAACTCTAGTGAACATAATACAAGCTGACTGCTCACCAAACCACATATCACTTCATCCTTCAAGCCTAGAGGCTCAAAGGCAAGTATGAGGTGGATACTGGATGGTCATCCGATCAATCATCACATGCGATCATGCAATAATGCTAAGGAAACAAACACCAGGAAGAATATCTGTATGACTAGCAGAGATTGTCTTCCATTTGACTGACTTGCATCATCGATACTGAGTGATGATTGAAGGTGGCACAAATTTTCACTTCACATTCCATCACCACACAGTATTAACAAGGAAGTGGTCAAAACATTTCACTCTCATCGACCATGCCACAAAATATCATAGTTTGAGATGAATATGAAATCGCCACACGTAGAAAATTGATAAATAAAATACGAGGAGTATATTCTAATGATCACTTACAAATCGGCTGGATAGAAGAACAACACAACATATTTGCCCGAATAATCTTCTAAGCTAATATCTTTGAAAACACCATCAACCACAGCCTTCCCTTTGAATACTGGTGCAGGTCTGTTTGGTAGTAGGGCCATGATTAGTAAATGACGCGTGAGGACGATTCGTCGTTCAGACCATCTCTGAGTTCATGTATTTATATGTGTTGACGACTAAAATGGATTTAACTCTGATTGGTCTAGATTTACATTTTGATTACAATTGGTTAATTCACCAAAATCAATTTTCATATTACATCATTCATTACCAGGCATCATCAAAATCAGCATGTCTATAACTTATTATGTTGTTGACATGATATTGACCGACAGAATGTGATTTTGTAAACATTACGTCAGAAAACAGGTCAGTGTGCCGAATGCTAATGCGTATTTCATGGCCCCGACAAGCACTCGTAAATTCAGTTACATGTAGTAGAGTAACAGACAAGAATGACACTCAACCGTCTCATGTGGTTAGTGGTCTCATCCGAACTGTGAGGTCGACTGTAACAGAAGTGTTGAAGTTGTACATTTCGACCTGTCTATATTTACTAAGAGTAATTGTGGCATATCAAGTGTTGGAGCAGAAGACAAAGTCCGTGAAATACAAGGATCAACAGAATCAGTGGAATGAAGAAGGCTTAATTGCTAATCGTAGTTGCTAGTAGTTCGCATCACTATGCAGTGAAGTTGATTATGCATGCGATATGAGGGGAAGGAGAAGGGATGCAGGTTTTAATAATAGATCAAAGATCAAGGCCAAAGATGAAGTTGAAGCAGACTCAGAGCGTTAATGTGAGGTTAAGACTTGGCCTTGGATTGGATTGTTTCATTCAATATAATGCATAATCATAAAACATCATTCATCGGATGACTTTATGCTGAGAAGTTGTTCCCAATATCATGACGAAATAAAACACAAATTCTAACTTCTCTTTCGTCGTTAATCAACTCCCATTCTTTCATTTTAATCCTAGTAGCGATTTCCGAATGCCTGCAGTGTGTGATGAGTCATCACTCATGCGTGGATTACGCAAACATTTGATAACCACTGATTAACTAATCAATCTCTCTCTCCAACTAGCCGTATCGGATTTCGGAAGTATCACACTATCCCACTATGAAGTGTGATTATGAGTGAGTGCATACAGAGATATGACAGAGATCCCCCTCAACTACTGGCCACAGTAAGTTCCATCGTTGTGGATTTCACCAAACCTTCATACTCTGCTACGTTGACTGACACCAACAGACTTCTTTGACCCATGTACACGACTTCAAAACCATTGAATACAACCTTACACACTGTGTTGTTCTGACTAGTTGCATCTCCGGGATCTTAATTAAACTCAACCAGTTTTCCCTCCGAATGCGTTTGTCTGCTTCAACGTCATCAAAATATCAGTTCCGAAAATAATAATAAGAAGTGATGCCTTACAACAACTAGACAAACACACTCATGACAACTAGGATGCATATAACTACATAACCATTGCACCTTGCACCTGGACGTGTAGATCAGGTTGACAGTACATGATCAGATTAATCGCCACCGTTTCAAAAAGATTTCATGCCCATTGCGTGTACCTTATCCAGAGAGCTTGAGTTTCATAGTTTCATAATGCATAAATATTGTACTTTAAAAGACGTCACTTCACTCTAGATGTAGACATCTGGAATGAAAATCAGGTGCATTACAGCTCTTGAATCTTCCACCTACTCAGGGTATTTACACAACCTAGAGATAATCCCAAGGCTGTCAATCTCCATGGTCAACTCATTTCCCCAAATTCGGTATTTTCACCTTACTGAACAGGGTTTCAACCAGATTCACTTATATAAGAGGGGATGATATCCAAGATGATTCAATGTGTACATCCTCCGCATGGATGATATCCTGAGTAACATCATGACTTACTAATCACGTGCATAGTGTGTATGTGTATACACGTAAAATGTTTGTGGATATAAAGAAGAGCACTAATATTGTAAATGCGGTGTAATGACAAATACATGAAATCTCTGATCTGCATGCAACGAGAGAAACACAGTGAAGAAGATTCTTGGAGTTGTTGGACGCAAAAGAGATAGCATGATTGTGTGATTCTAGGTTGGATGTGTCTTAGTGAAAATGAGTATTTACTAGGGATAGAAGTCAACTTCTAGGTGGCAGGAGGGTGCAGCTACCAGTGTTCACAACAACAAATGGATACACAGTTTCTGTCTGGAAGCATGAAATGCATAAAATATGAGACGCATTGGTACAGGATGTGGAAGCGATAAATCTGAGAAGTGTTCGATCATCGACAGTATTGGGGATTGATGAGTGTATCAAAATGGAAAGCAGTAAGTAGTTCACTTGGAAACCCCCCTAATTCGCATCTAGGATGGTCAAGAAAGGACTGTGATGTTTATTAGGATAACACCAGCTGTATAGATTCGAGCAATCAAATAACAGTGACAAGTAACGGTATACGAATTCAGAGGTTATCGATCGACCTGTTTCTAACCACTAGAATAAAAATAAATTATCTGACATGAAAACTTTCATTCAGCCAGTGGCGAAATACCCAGATAAAACTCGACATTGTTTGCACCGTCACATTCTGACCATGCATGTCATTATACTGAATGTGCACACATTTCCTCCTCTTGAACAAAGTAGAGAGAGCAGTGACACTCTACAAACTCATGAGGCCACACATACACAAATTAATCCGAATGCTTCAATTTGACCAACTTGAACTCATCTGATTATCGGTTATGTGTGGGTGCAAATGAACCATATCCACCTCTCTACAAATAACGAAACAGGTCACGCAAATGTGTGATCGGATAGGTCACTTCATTCAGTGGCATCATCATACGGAAACCACACTCTCTTATTGCCTTCTTAGTTAAAATTCACCAGTCAATTCAGATTATCCGCATAGATTCTATTACACTGCGAGTGTATGTGTACGCATATGTCTCTGTTCATTTCATAACTGAACGCGAAAACGAAAACAAACACGATTGTGAAGAAATACATACACAGTCGAACAAAACAACCAAATAAACTTCAATAATTAACGTCACCTGGTTAACTTAATCACTAGTTACTAGCCGGTACATAGCCCAGATGAAGATGGAAGTTTGTGTATAATGCTAGCAACCCTACCCCGAAAAGCAAATCAAAACGCTACAGAAACTTTGATAGACAAGCAAAATATAAAAATAAAAACAAACTTATTCTTCGCTGTATTCATAGAGGCGAAGGGACGCTGGTCGGTGAAAGACTTCGGGAAGCCAATTGGTTGGTGTGTCTTCCCTTGATGAAAGCGTAATTAATCATGGAGACATGGAATGTCCGCACTGTGTTTGAACCTAGCAAGGCTGCACAGATTGCCAACGAGATAAGGAGGTGTGGCTTGGAAGTGCTTGGAATCTGCGAAAGCAGATGGAATGGAAGTGGACTCTACAAACTGTCAACTGGATTGTCAATAATCTACTCCAATATTGTCACCCACACGACAACCGCGATCACACTGAGTTTTCGAGTGGCTATCATGATGTCCCTAACAGCATTCAAGGCTCTCATGCAGTGGGAACCAGTCTCCCCCACGATCACGATCATGACAGCAAGATTCAACTCAAAAGGAAGGAAAATCACAATCATTCAGTGTTGCGCGCCAACAAATGATGCAGATCAAGAGCAGGAGGAGGAATTCTACAGACAGCTGCAATCAACACTGGACAAGACCCGAATTGGTGACGGTGACATCAAAATTCTAATGGGCGACATGAATGCCAAAGTGGGAGCAGACAACACAGGAAGAGAACTAACCATGGGTCGAGAAGCGCTCGGTGAAATGAATGAGAATGGAGAATTGTTTGCAGATTTCTGTGCATTCAGCGATTTGGTGATTGGAGACAGTGTGTACAAACACAGGGAAATTCAAAAAGCGACATACACTTCACCAGATAGACACACTAAAAATCAGATCGACTTCATTTCAATGTGAAGGAAGTGGAGACGCAGCCTACTGGACACAAGATCAGATCAAGAAGAGGAGCAGACGTAGGTGGTTCACACCAGTCACTATCTAGTGCAAAGAACATTCAGAATCAAGTTGAAACCCTTCAAAGAATTTGGTGATAGACCACAGTTAAAGTTGAACAACCGGAACAGAGACTGAACTGAAGGACCAATCTACGAAGGACATCTTCACGTCAGCCATCAGAACAAAATGGAAGACACTGAGCAACATTACTGAAGAAACCTGGGTGGAAGAACACTGGAAGTCCTTGAAAGCTATATGGAAAGAAACCTGCTTAACTGTATTAGGAAGGAAGAGGAAAAAAGTCAAGGAATGGATCTCGACGGACACATGGAAACTGATAGAGGAGGGAGAGGAAGATGGTGAAGCAGAAGATGAACCAGTGCAGTGCAGTGCAGGGATGAACACCAATTCGAGAAGCGAATTTTTCTCGCCAATTAGTTATTGAGTGATGGTTCTATATATGTGGCATTTTTTGTCAGCAGGATATTCTGTTATTGTATTATCATTATTTCCAGTTGGTGAGATTATTTGACATAACTGTGGTTTGAGAGATCCTTTTTATTAATAAAAGGTGGGAGGGGCTGAAGACGGTTCGCTTTGATATGCTTGGTTTCAATCTCCAGACAAGTCGTTTCAGTGCTTTATTCAGTCCCCACCCACAAGCTTAATCAATTAGAAAGGTCTCTCAAACCAAGGTTACGTCAAATAATCTCACCAACTGAAAATAATGACATTGCAATAACAGAATATCCTGCCGACAACAAAATGCTACATATGTAGAACCATCACTAAATAGCTAATTGGCGAGAAAAATCAGCTTCTCGAATTGGTGTTCTGTAAATGTCGAAATTAGAATTTTCACACCAACGGTATGAATTTCGATTTCGGACATCAGCATTCTTTTCAGTAGGATTCTGAAGATGTGAATGATAACAAACACTTCAAAAGGGGAAATAGTATTTGACATCAGCAGAAACACCAGAGATTAGGGATAAAATGAAAACAAACCGACATGTAAACAAATTACCAAGCATCCGAAATGCTAGATGGGAAAACGTGAAACAGTGGACTCTACGATAAACGAGTCATATTTGGATAGGTGACTTGCCAAGGACACTAACCAGCATTACAAATGTTAGCAACCCATTGAGATCGTAGACTTCTTACAGACAATCTATCAGCTTAACTTACGTGTGAATTCAGTTTTACACTGAGATAGGTATATCGACTGTGTAATTCTCTAATCAAATCATATAACTTGGATCCACAATATTTATCTACACGTTCTCAATTGTCTTATTATCGATTCCAAAGTCTTTTTGCACAGTCCAACCACGTGCTACAGTGTTCACAAAAACATTATTATGAATATAATTATGACAAAGAACGTGATTCACATCATGATACTACATTTGTGCTTTATGTAGTTATTACTGTGCAAACGTGTCATCTAATACATGATATACCCAATGTCACAAACGTATTTGTGAAGTTTATGTCAAAACGGAGCATAGAAGTGTTTCAGCCTTTCATTACAGTCAGAATTTTGTTATCCTTCGAGTCGACCAGAAATATTTTCAGTCGTGAGAATGCACAGTTTGAACTACGTGACAGTGTACTGTTAGTCTGTTATATATGTTGATGGGTGATTTGAGTGTTGATCAAGTAGTGTATCATTCATTTTGTGATGTCAGTTAACTCAACAGGATGTATAAGCCTCGACCACTGGTATTGAGCACTTCTGTTCCTGACTGCAGTATACAGACTACATTCAGTTAACAGTTGACTCCATTTCTTGCAAATCCAATTATTTTCATGACAGATTAGATGAGTGATATTGATGAAAAAGCCCCTTCTACCTCACAGATGAATTTCGATTGGAAATCTCAATGCGTGCTACTCTTATTTGGTGGATACAAAGAAATCTGCAAGCAGTTTGTTGAGTGAATACACGGATATTCGTGAAAACAAGGTATACAGTTTTAGGTGGTTGAAAGAATATTCGTCGCGACGTCATCACTTTCCTTGAGGTTTCTGATATTACTTGTTGAGGGTTGCTACCGCGAAGGAAACCTAGGTCATGGAAAATTTCGTGTTGATCACCTCCAAGCAACTGAAGACTTCTCAACATTTCAGTAAGAGTGAATAATCACTGTATGCTTTTACAAATGAGCGAATCTTCACCAGTGTGGTTGTTTGGAACTAATGAAGAATGTTCCTGAATTGACTCCTTTTCAACTCTGCTCCACTTCTTCTAGCCTCGTTGTAAGTCTCGATGCTTTTATTTTCGCTGTACATTGACCTCCATTGCTAGAGGTGCACAGGAAATGTTGGTGACCAGTAGATATTTACAGTAATGTATTTCACTAAGTGAGCTGTATCAAGCGTGTTTGATGATGGATAATAATTAAATGTTATATTGTTTTTTAATATGCACTTCTCTCATATAAACTTACTACTTATTACTTATATGTAGACGAAAACTACTCTACTCAGACTTGTTGATGCCTCCCTTGGTTTGGTTTTACTTTTGACGTACTTCAGAGAGTGATCCGTTTTGATGAACATGGATGTTGTTTGGAGATGGACTCAGTGATTTTCCGATCGACGATGAGATAACGACGCACATTGAAATATATCGTGCAAGCAGCGTAAATACATGGTGTCAGACAGACCTCCTCTGAATGATGATGTGATTGAAGAGTGTCTGAGTGGTACTGATAATCACGTCCGTCGGTCATTATCTAATATCTCACTTCAGTGTTTTTTTTCAGATTTCTGGTTCGGCAGATGGTTCGCGTTTGAGCGAATATCTGGATTTGCAGTATAATCTGTAGAATGCTTCTTCCCAACATCGAGATAGCTGAAATTTAGCATGATGTCAGGTCGGATTGGACATCTATCTGCGTATTATTCAGGGAGTATGCGTATGGCAATCAACAGCCATGTCTAAGTATTTCAGATGAGAACAATTCACATTTCATTGCAATGTCCGTTTGCGTCTGGATAACAGTTGGTTGCACTCTTTAATGTTGTGTTGAAAATGCCACCGAGAGTGTCAAGTCTCTCGGCAGCAAATAAGAGGAATTCGACAGAGTGGGGATCATTTTGGTAATATCTTGTGCAACTTAGATATTCACCTGTCACTGTAGGCAGTATTGGTATATAGGTCTGTCGGTGTTATTGTGAGTATCCTTCATACATTCGGAGTTGACTTCCATGACTGCGGAAATCTAACACGTTAGCTCCAAGCAGACCTCTCTTCTTCATAGAGGGTTGTCACCACATGTGATCTGGAAACTCGAAAGTAGGACAGATGGCGTGTGCGCATGCTTTGATTTGAAGTGTTTTCCAGCTATACATTCGGTGGGTATCTTTTTCAATCACCATATAGATTGGTTGAGATGAGAGTAGGAACTCTGTGCTTATTGATCCAATACAAGTGTTGCATTACCTTTTATTCGCAGATGTTCCTAGTTAAATTTTATATTCTTCTACTTTTTGCAACTGAGCTTGACGATGTGGAAATAGGTACCTGTGTTCCAGTACACCTTCAACGTTAATATAAGTAGATTTTCGTGGATATACTCAAGTGTTCTGCTGATATTTCACTTCGCATTTCACCCTACAGGCAGTTTAGTCTTTTGAATACGTGTTTGTGACAACTCGTTGGCACCGTAATTTGTGTGAAATCAAGACAAGTACTTGAAACAAAGCAGTTATTCATTTCATATTCATTCAGTGCATTGCTTGGTAGGAAACAATCACATAAGCCACTACTGATAATGATGGCTGATGCACCGATATCTTTTATAAGTTGACTGAATCCTGATTGATTTACCGTGAACTTAAAGATGAGTGTTTTGAAGGCATATGTACTGCTTTTTGTACAGCACACCAATGAATGAATTTGCATTTCATTTTCGCCAATGGACCTAACTTTGTTTAGTCCTACCGCTATTTGAATTTGTTTGTATGCGATATATGACAATTTTCTGTGACAACGTTGGTATTAATCAACAACAAAATGAAACAACAGAATTCAAATTATACTCCTGATTGAGAGTTGTCTATGCTATGCTACACATCCTCACGTATAAGATTTCTAAGTGCTCCTCTAGACAGTGGCATTAGTGGCCAACTTCATTTTGGTAGGATCCGATGTGGTTTTTTGTGGCAGTCAAGCACTTGTTCTTCTTGCCTGTCATAATTCCCTTGAAGCTACAGTGGATACCCCATAGTCACTAACAATACACTTATTTGCACATAGACGGTATTCTTAAACGTGGCGTACAACCCAATGCTACGTGAGCGGATAATGCAAAAGATTACACTTCACTTTAGATATTGAAGTTTATTTGGTTGTTTTGTTCGACTGTGTATGTATTTCTTCACAATCGTGTTTGTTTTCGTTTTCGCGTTCAGTTATGAAATGAACAGAGACATATGCGTACACATACACTCGCAGTGTCATAGAATCTATGCGGATAATCTGAATTGACTGGTGAATTTCAACTAAGAAGGCAATAAGAGAGTGTGGTTTCCGTATGATGATGCCACTGAATGAAGTGACCTATCCGATCACACATTTGCGTGACCTGTTTCGTTATTTGTAGAGAGGTGGATATGGTTCATTTGCACCCACACATAACCGATAATCAGATGAGTTCAAGTTGGTCAAATTGAAGCATTCGGATTAGTTTGTGTATGTGTGGCCTCATGAGTTTGTAGAGTGTCACTGCTCTCTCTACTTTGTTCAAGAAGAGGAAATGTGTGCACATTCAGTATAATGACATGCATGGTCAGAATGTGACGGTGCAAACAATGTCGAGTTTTATCTGGGTATTTCGCCACTGGCTGAATGAAAGTTTTCATGTCAGATAATTTATTTTTATTCTAGTGGTTAGAAACAGGTCGATCGATAACCTCTGAATTCGTATACCGTTACTTGTCACTGTTATTTGATTGCTCGAATCTATACAGCTGGTGTTATCCTAATAAACATCACAGTCCTTTCTTGACCATCCTAGATGCGAATTAGGGGGGTTTCCAAGTGAACTACTTACTGCTTTCCATTTTGATACACTCATCAATCCCCAATACTGTCGATGATCGAACACTTCTCAGATTTATCGCTTCCACATCCTGTACCAATGCGTCTCATATTTTATGCATTTCATGCTTCCAGACAGAAACTGTGTATCCATTTGTTGTTGTGAACACTGGTAGCTGCACCCTCCTGCCACCTAGAAGTTGACTTCTATCCCTAGTAAATACTCATTTTCACTAAGACACATCCAACCTAGAATCACACAATCATGCTATCTCTTTTGCGTCCAGCAACTCCAAGAATCTTCTTCACTGTGTTTCTCTCGTTGCATGCAGATCAGAGATTTCATGTATTTGTCATTACACCGCATTTACAATATTAGTGCTCTTCTTTATATCCACAAACATTTTACGTGTATACACATACACACTATGCACGTGATTAGTAAGTCATGATGTTACTCAGGATATCATCCATGCGGAGGATGTACACATTGAATCATCTTGGATATCATCCCCTCTTATATAAGTGAATCTGGTTGAAACCCTGTTCAGTAAGGTGAAAATACCGAATTTGGGGAAATGAGTTGACCATGGAGATTGACAGCCTTGGGATTATCTCTAGGTTGTGTAAATACTCTGAGTAGGTGGAAGATTCAAGAGCTGTAATGCACCTGATTTTCATTCCAGATGTCTACATCTAGAGTGAAGTGACGTCTTTTAAAGTACAATATTTATGCATTATGAAACTATGAAACTCAAGCTCTCTGGATAAGGTACACGCAATGGGCATGAAATCTTTTTGAAACGGTGGCGATTAATCTGATCATGTACTGTCAACCTGATCTACACGTCCAGGTGCAAGGTGCAATGGTTATGTAGTTATATGCATCCTAGTTGTCATGAGTGTGTTTGTCTAGTTGTTGTAAGGCATCACTTCTTATTATTATTTTCGGAACTGATATTTTGATGACGTTGAAGCAGACAAACGCATTCGGAGGGAAAACTGGTTGAGTTTAATTAAGATCCCGGAGATGCAACTAGTCAGAACAACACAGTGTGTAAGGTTGTATTCAATGGTTTTGAAGTCGTGTACATGGGTCAAAGAAGTCTGTTGGTGTCAGTCAACGTAGCAGAGTATGAAGGTTTGGTGAAATCCACAACGATGGAACTTACTGTGGCCAGTAGTTGAGGGGGATCTCTGTCATATCTCTGTATGCACTCACTCATAATCACACTTCATAGTGGGATAGTGTGATACTTCCGAAATCCGATACGGCTAGTTGGAGAGAGAGATTGATTAGTTAATCAGTGGTTATCAAATGTTTGCGTAATCCACGCATGAGTGATGACTCATCACACACTGCAGGCATTCGGAAATCGCTACTAGGATTAAAATGAAAGAATGGGAGTTGATTAACGACGAAAGAGAAGTTAGAATTTGTGTTTTATTTCGTCATGATATTGGGAACAACTTCTCAGCATAAAGTCATCCGATGAATGATGTTTTATGATTATGCATTATATTGAATGAAACAATCCAATCCAAGGCCAAGTCTTAACCTCACATTAACGCTCTGAGTCTGCTTCAACTTCATCTTTGGCCTTGATCTTTGATCTATTATTAAAACCTGCATCCCTTCTCCTTCCCCTCATATCGCATGCATAATCAACTTCACTGCATAGTGATGCGAACTACTAGCAACTACGATTAGCAATTAAGCCTTCTTCATTCCACTGATTCTGTTGATCCTTGTATTTCACGGACTTTGTCTTCTGCTCCAACACTTGATATGCCACAATTACTCTTAGTAAATATAGACAGGTCGAAATGTACAACTTCAACACTTCTGTTACAGTCGACCTCACAGTTCGGATGAGACCACTAACCACATGAGACGGTTGAGTGTCATTCTTGTCTGTTACTCTACTACATGTAACTGAATTTACGAGTGCTTGTCGGGGCCATGAAATACGCATTAGCATTCGGCACACTGACCTGTTTTCTGACGTAATGTTTACAAAATCACATTCTGTCGGTCAATATCATGTCAACAACATAATAAGTTATAGACATGCTGATTTTGATGATGCCTGGTAATGAATGATGTAATATGAAAATTGATTTTGGTGAATTAACCAATTGTAATCAAAATGTAAATCTAGACCAATCAGAGTTAAATCCATTTTAGTCGTCAACACATATAAATACATGAACTCAGAGATGGTCTGAACGACGAATCGTCCTCACGCGTCATTTACTAATCATGGCCCTACTACCAAACAGACCTGCACCAGTATTCAAAGGGAAGGCTGTGGTTGATGGTGTTTTCAAAGATATTAGCTTAGAAGATTATTCGGGCAAATATGTTGTGTTGTTCTTCTATCCAGCCGATTTGTAAGTGATCATTAGAATATACTCCTCGTATTTTATTTATCAATTTTCTACGTGTGGCGATTTCATATTCATCTCAAACTATGATATTTTGTGGCATGGTCGATGAGAGTGAAATGTTTTGACCACTTCCTTGTTAATACTGTGTGGTGATGGAATGTGAAGTGAAAATTTGTGCCACCTTCAATCATCACTCAGTATCGATGATGCAAGTCAGTCAAATGGAAGACAATCTCTGCTAGTCATACAGATATTCTTCCTGGTGTTTGTTTCCTTAGCATTATTGCATGATCGCATGTGATGATTGATCGGATGACCATCCAGTATCCACCTCATACTTGCCTTTGAGCCTCTAGGCTTGAAGGATGAAGTGATATGTGGTTTGGTGAGCAGTCAGCTTGTATTATGTTCACTAGAGTTGTTTGTGCACAGCGGCTTGTCAGATGGGTTGGAGTCATTCTTGTCGACTGTTGTGTTGTGACGTGTGACAAACATGCCTTCAGAATATCACATGTGTCGAGAGGATTTCTAGTGAGTTAATCACAGCGACCCTTTCACAATCATTCTGTCGAAATTCGATCATCACAGACTGCTTGTTTCGTAAACTGAATGGCCATTCGATAGGGGGTCAGTGATGTAAGTGACCTGTTCAAATGGCTTGCAGTGTAATAGTTGCAATGTCCGCGAGGGATGGAAATGCGTAATTCGGCCTCACGACTGTCTCTCAACCTGATGGCATAATATATAAGAGGGCTTCATAAGGCGGTTCTGTATATCTTGTTGAATTCTCCATACACAGTATGTGGACACGAAGAAGCATGAAGAACACAGTGTTTTGTGAGAGTTCATAAATCAACACTACTTGAAAATAAGATCAACTTGTGACTTTGCCACTCATGTTGTACAGGTGATTTGTTTCCTCACTTCGTAGCTGTCCTTCATAAGGTGTCAATTTTCTTGTATGCTGTCATGTTATGTCAGTGATTTCAGGTAAGTCATCAGGAACCCATGAGTGCTGAGACGAGCCTCACTGTGATCCTCACTGACTTACAATTCAGTAGACAGTAATGTTTGCAATAGAGCTTCGTTCCATAGTGTTGGTGATTTGTGGTTGAATGGAACCGCATCACTCAGTGATACAATGAACAATAATATTTGTTGTACTCATTCCATAGATGAGCCATACTGGTGCGTATCTGAATTCCCCTGAATCGTTGATGTCATATTTTGATGAAGGAAATTTATTGTGTCGAGTAAGTATTTCTGGTGAGTGATTCAACTGAATAAATTCCCGAATGTTTATTGCTTGTCTTGAGCAGTAAAATAATTGATCCACAAATCAATCTGTAGATTCATTAGTACACATTCAATACGCTTAATGTAGACTGGACGTCCATTTCTCACTATCCTCATCACCGTGTCCTTGTATACTGTTTCTCAATTATTTCTAGTACATTTGTGTGCCCGACGGAAATCATCGCATTCAGTGATCAGGTTGAAGAATTCCGAAGTCGAAATTGTCAAGTGATTGCTTGCTCCACGGATTCTGAATACAGTCACCTAGCGTGGATAAACATGGATCGTAAATCAGGTGGACTAGGTGAGATGAAAATCCCTCTGTTAGCTGACAAAACGAAAGACATCTCCAGAGCGTATGGCGTGCTTGATGAAGAGGAGGGCAATGCATTCAGGTGAGTGGTGATGAGGATAAGTGTGTAATTATTGTCATGTGACATTCATCCTATACATTTTTGAACTGTTCGCTTCTATCTGCTAGTGAACTGAAGTTTGTCATTTTAAGTTATCAACAGTGAGACAAAGATCATCCTGTGTAAGTGTTATTCGTTAGCCTGTCGATGTTAATGAGGATTTGTTTATTAGTAAAATGGTAAAGTCATATTGTTCGGCTATATGTAATGTGATGATGGAGTGATAGAAGCATCAATGAGAATCAGGATAAAGATGAACCTGTTTGACTGCATGAATGAAATCGCCACCCTCTCCCTCTCTCTCTCTCTCACACACACACACATACAGGCTGTCACTCCTAGATTCCTCGGTCTGTTACACAGACACAAGAACCACTTCCCAATGTAAAGACATTGTCGGCCACAGTCAAAGTATCGTCCACCGAAATGCCACTCTACATTGTGTTGATCTTCTTTGACTCCCCTCATTCACTCCTCAACTGATATTGAAAAGCAGCTAATTTAAAATTATGTGGAAAATGCGTAACACAAACATCGAGTCATAGGAAGATGCTAAAGTCATCATGATCGCCCTAGTCATCGTCACCAGTGACAACTTCGAAAAGTATTATTCTAAACGACTTTCCTGATGGCGATCAAAGTAGCTTAGCTTAACTGTGATTTATTGTCACCTGACTCACAGTGATCACATTGATGTTGATTGAATGTCAAGTACAAGAGCTAGTAATTCAATAGGATGTGAGTGGTCTAACCCGGTTCAACCCTAGATCAATGAGTTAGTGGCAGTTTTCCAACCCTCTCAACCTCATGTTTTTCGAGTGGTTGTGAGCATGTAGCGACCCAGTGCACAAGACTACATGTGTGACGACCTCACTGATTTATTCCCTGCAATCCCAAGTGTTAGTGGATATCTGTCACTTTGCAGTCACTTGTGAACAAAAAATCAGAATTGTTGGAGTATTTCACCATTTAGACAGAGGTTGCCTATTATATAGATGTTAGTCGTGACAATGATTTATTCCCTTATATTCTGCAGTATGTCTTATTATATCGTTTGCCTTTCTCACCCTTCAGAGGTCTATTCATCATTGATAAAAAGGGAGTTCTTCGTCAAATTACAGTCAATGACAAACCGGTTGGACGGTGTGTGGATGAGACGCTGCGTCTGTTGGATGCATTTCAATTTGTCGAGAAGCATGGTGAAGTTTGTCCTGTGAACTGGAAACGTGGTCAGAGTGGGATTCCAAATAAGCACTAACAGGCTGTATGTGGCCTTCACTTGACTCTTATGCCCTTTCGAAATATCTTCCAATCATGTCTTCATTCAGTAAAAGGTACTCTGTCAGCTATTTCAAAACTTCACTGGTTATAGTATAAACGAAGGTTTTTCTACTCACCAGTGGTTTTCTTCCTCCCGAGTTGTGGGTTGTAGCACATCTCTAGGAAATTGTTGAATACTGAGTGGGTGGAGGCAGTGGGGGGGGGGACACATAGGTGAGGTACTCATCTCTTTGTCTTGCATTCTCATTTTGTGGGCACCCAGTTAGTTCACTGTCAATGTAAAATAGTCTAATTGGATGGAGTGCCATTATTGAGATCCATGCATAGTTTGTATTTCAATGAATGATGGTCTTACTGTAGTAGAGCACGATTACTATTAGAGCACTGACTCTTTCGCTGGTGGAATAGGTTTTCTTCGACCATGCACCTTTATATAAGAGAATGATTTGTTTTGTTTCCCGTGGAAGAATCAACTAACTGCAGTGGATTTTTGTTGTTTTATCAATGATTACGTATTAGATCGATGTCGACGGTTGTGGCTACGATGCAGTTTTCATTCGCATCGCATCCACAATTCGAATATCACATAAGTCGAATGAGCCGAATTTACATTTATAAGGATAAATGACAGATAGTCCCGTCAGAAATATCTTGTGAATAATATATCCCAGATGCTTGTTGAGCAATTAAGTCAGATTTATCAACCCTACTCAACGCATTCAAATAAGTTGACGCCTGAACTGATATCAGTGAGCAGGATTAGCGTTATTGTACTTTAGAGGAACATTAATAGTAAATTCTTTCAGGTGAAGTGTGAAGAGAGAGACTAGTTGGATAAACACTGTCACTTCAAACTGAGGCAGTTCGTTAGTCACGTAGAAGTTGGAGGTTGTAACCATAGGATGATAGTTTGCTTTGTATTTTGAGCTCTAACTATGAGGTGGTGAACTGTGTCATCATTACTACAAATGATTCCGATGAATTTCCATAACAACGGATTTTACGTGACTTTGTGTGGAGTCGATTTTAGGCAAAACGTTTTCATGGTGAAAGAAAGCGTGCCTGCTATTCTCACTTGGTTCAATCAATCGGTCCATCTGAATGTCATCATGATGACACAACTAGTGCTCAAACACTAATGGAGTACTGCATATTGACGCGAGTTATGCAACTCACTTCCAGGTGTATGCTCTGCAAGATGATCCTAGCTCGCTCCTTCTGCGAGGTTTCAATGAAAAGTTCATTGGTTTATACTGAGAGCACTCTAATTGCGAACAAATGTTACCGTTTATAATCCAACGCTTTTCTACACACGTTGAAATTTCTGTCATTTTAGTGAAGCTGTTAGTGCTCTTTATTAGAGGTCGTAGAAGAAGTTATTATTCATTGACAACTGTGCGTAAGTGAATATAATTTTCGATTGTCACTGGAATGTTCACTCATGCACTATCTTCCCACCTGGATTCTCTGGTCTATCGCGAATTTGCGAATTCAGTCTACATAGTTGTGACATCCTCCTGTCCATCTGATTTGATTCACAGATGAATCCTTGTATCGCGTTCAGATTACAGGCAGACGTCATTAAACAGACACACTTATTTAGAAAGAGTAACCGTTCACTGAGTATTCAGAATTTTATTCTCTTCCCACCTGAATATCTCCGTCTTCGAAACTGTTGCTGCCAGACGAATTTCGTAGTGAGTTCCAGCACAACCGTAAAATTTTAAGCTCGTTCTCCCATCACCGAAAATTGGGTGAAAAATGTCTAAACATTTTGTAAAGCATTTGTCGGTTTCCAAACAAGCGAATGATGGTAGATAAACAGTGCGCCTGATTATATGTGAAAACGCATGTCCTTGTTTGGTGTTTCAGCTCCCTTGGGAAAACTTTTCAAGCTTCGCGAATTCCCTTGAATTGCTGTCGAAACATGATAACAATGTATCTGTGTAAAATACTTTGACTTATGGTGTGGATTTATTTTCACTTGTATGTTACGATCATTGAAAGGAAGATTTACTTTCAAAATGATGTTCGACATCAGCACTGAAATTATTGTCCTATTCTAAACTTTCTTCCTGGTTATTTCATATCAGCATCTTTTCCAATTATTATTCATATATATGTATATTACATAGCTTACTAAATAAAGTTGTCGTCCCTGCAGTCAGATGTGACATTTCGTCCTTAGGTATCTGCTTGACTTAGTGAAGAATAAGGTGCTGAAGAGGTATAGTCACATTTGGTATTCAATCCTAGTATATCACTGCCTTCAGTATGAATAATAACTACGTCTTATTCTACTCTGTCACTTTAGACATAGGTCTAAGTTACAGACTAGTGTGTGCTGTTCTTTCTTCATTTCTTCTGATTTGGTAAAACATGAACTCTTGAAGAAACATGCAGGACCAAGATATATCATATATCATAAAATGATCATAAACAGTGTGAATTCATGAAATTTCATCTTGAATGTTATCAACACACCTTTTGCTTATAAAATATGACTCACAGTTCATAGTCACGCTTCTCACACTTTTCAGCTCACCTGATCTCACTACTTAATCCATCCAGTGTTAGCTTTTGATAGCATCTAATGTCAATCAACAACATGTATTGCATAATTTACTATTTCCACATCTCAGTTGAATTGTAAACTTACAGGTCTCAGTGGGCTATGATAGTAAGTAATAAATGACACTAGGACGAATTATTTTCGAACATATGAATGTTGCTTGGACCTTCCAAATGGCTTTGAAATGTGTCCTCAATAAGTACTACACATGGGTTTGAATGACATAGACAAATCCATTTTATGCTCTGTTTCAGTAACACGTCAAGCCATTGTTGAGCTCAGACATTTGTTCCCAGTAGGCCATTCTATTTGTTTCCGGACCACCTTTTGGAATAAGTACTGTTAGTGACCTCTGAGTCCTCTCTATGAGACTATATGTACATTGAAATTGGTAGATACACTGGATATTAATTAGTCTTTCACCTGTTTCAAGGTTTTGATGGGTATATAGGCTTCGAATTTCTAGTAATGAGTACCTTAGCCGTATAATATGTTTTACCGATGCCAATATGTTTCCGTCCGGCTATTTGGATCACCCGTGTGTTGTAGAATGATGAATGCATCTTTCTTTAGGCGAGAATGGATAGTTTGAACGTATCCTCACCGACAATGGAGTGGATGGTTTGGAAAAAATTGGGCACCAAGTTAGTATGACTCATTGTACAAGGTGTATTTTTATTTGTGTTCTCCCGGCGTAGTACATGAGAATAAGTGATAAAATAAACAAATATATCGTATCATTCCTCTTCAATGTTTCCATCTTGCTAGGAAGATCCTTTTCATGAGTGTTAATCTGATGTTAAGTTTTCAGGTTATTATTCAAGTTTTGGTGCAGATGGTGACCTTATTGATCATCCACTTACATCTTAATGTGGAAGAAAGGGTGATATAATGTTGGTGAGTGAATTAGCGAATCGGTCAGAGAGGCTTTTTCAGTTGTGCAAATCAGGCGGAACAAAAATAAGGTGGGGAAATTTAGTTCGACCATGAAAACTACTACAGAGTTGTGAGTCATCTGGGAACAGTAAGAAAAAATTATAATTTTGGAAAGATGAATATCTGAAAATCAAACGATGTGTGACAATAATAATAACGGTCAAATTATGAATGATAACAAAATGGATTGCGTAATATAAGGAACGGTCCACGAAATGTATATAACTCAGAAGAGAACGTAAATTGGTTGGAAATAGTAAATCAACTAAGTATTACGGAATAAGATCCGACAAGTCATTAAAGTGAAGCGAATATTTCTTTGAAGTGATTAAGACGATTAAGAGAAATAACAGCGGAAACTATTCAAACATCAATGAATTCGGAATGAATTATGTGGAATACAGTGAAATGAGATTGTGTTCTACCTTCTCTTCATATATCATTTGCAACTGTCTGTGCGAGTCATCAATGTTTGCCATATTTGTGGGATATCTAACCCATTTTTTGTGTTGACCTAAGTAGGGTATGAAAAGATGTACAAAACTTCTGAAATGGTCCGCTCTCTGTGAGAAAGCAAACCCTTTTACAAGACTTCTACCTTTTCGGATGCTATTTATGACCTGAATATAAGGAATGAGCCACGATGATAGAGTTTTCTCCGGGTTTTTCAAGATCACTGTTTTTGATTGCTACTTGCTACTTCGACCATTTCCGTTTAGACGTGTTAGCACTCCATATGATGTCTCTTCAATGTATGTGGTACTGGATTCATTATAGTCTACATTATAAACGCAGTTCTGTTGTTTCAGATGGAGGTTTGGGTCTTTTAATTTGTTAAAAGGTGTGACTGTAAAGTGTTCGTCACCTAAACGAACACTCTTATGTTGTGACTGTTAAGAATACGTCTTATTTCCTGTGAAGTGGATGTTCAATAAGGAAGTGTTGCAGTAGTCACCAATTTTTGTGGGTTGACTTTTTATGTCTTTTTTCGATAAACTTCTTCCTATTCTTTTTAACAGCTTTTCCAGACAGCTGTTTTGTTTGACGACTAACGAGTTGCCTATCTGCTTTCTGAGATTCCATCTTATTAGATATCCTTTTCAACTTCGTCAACAAATTTTTGGCGACGTTTAACCTAATTTCTAATGGATGAGCTGAATGGAAGTCATGTTACATATTGAAATATGTATCCTTTCGATAAACATCAATATGAAACGTCCATCGTTGTTTCGTGTGGTCCTGCAGCCTAAGAAACCTAGCGTTCTGGATTCTGTTTCTAGTTCACAAGTGATTTTTATGGGATTAAAAATGTCTGCTGAGATATTCGATAAGATTTTCTATACCTTGGCTTTTGTGTACAACAAAAGTGTCATCAACATACCTTCACAATATTCATGCTTCCAAATCGTGTTGGTTAAATAGGTTTGATTCCACTTTGTACATGTAAAGCTTATCTACAATGAGTAAGACCAGTGACTCCACTGCTATCCCACTGGTTCAACGATAAAGATTTCGTCGGAAAGTAAAAACGCTTGAAGCCAAACATAATTTCAGTGCATCGCAGATTTAATTGATGGAACTAGTGCACCTGAGCAATCAAGACCTAACAACTTATATGCTTTCATCAATCAAGTGTTTGTATTTGGAGAAATAACATCGAAGCTAACCATTGTTTCATCATCTTCATAGTATTTTTCAATGATCTGTCTATTTTATGCATACTTATACACTTCAGTGGATAGCTGTTATCAATCAACGTCTCCGTCAATAATCTTGTCTCTTTTTCTAAAGCATCCACTGGACACATGCGTTGAATTCGATTAAATAAGCACTTTACTAAACCTCGTTTGTACTGGGCCGGACAGAAACTGTAGTGATTTAAATACTATCTCGTTCATGAAGGCTTTCTACAGATAGATTGTCTTTATTGACCCATTTTGACGTCGACTGATCAATACGTCTGGGAAAGACAATCAGTTATCGTCTTTTTCTACACTTCCCAGAGGTATATTACTTGGTAATTAATAATGGCAATAATTAATATGCTTTCTTTATTTCGAACCTTAATTATGTTTACAGTATAGAATTCTCAGCATGTGATATTGCGTCAGTTTACCAGTTGTAGAACATTTTTGAAATGTACATTAATAACGGTACTGATTAACAATATATAAAATAAATAATCACATGACAGTTGAAATGTTTAATGACATCGGAGTTATGATAACTGTTCGCTATTGCAAAGTTGACTGATAAAACTATCTCTAACATGATTTCCTTCACACATTAACAAACTAAATAAGGTAGAAATGTATGGTGTGATAGAAATGTATGGAAAGATAACATAGCGGAATGACGCGATATAGTTATTTGGGATATCCTTGAATATGTGTACAGTATGTGGACTTTTCTACAGATGTTGTTACATATCATCTTAATGTCACCTGCAGCCATTAATTTTGTTTGTTATGTAGACCTCAATAGAGATGTCTAAATCACCCTACCTGGCTCAGATCAATAGTAACATACTTAGCGTACTGATTATTTCAATCTTCCCCGCCCCCTCCCTGAACTTACTTCAGCTAGCATTGTACTGCAAGCTGCATAATGTCTCTTTGTGCAAAACAAACGTCTCAAACAATAATCTAAGTCATTCAAGCCTCACAACCTTACAATTTCACTCACTTCTTATGTCTAAGACTCTAAACTTGACTTCATACTGATGGAGTGTAGACTGTTTTCGCTACTTCCAGCAAAACATATATATATGATTAACCAATGTCATCACTTCTCGGTTTCTTACTGTTAAACTAATTACGGGAAAAACGTAGTTTCAAGTCTCAGATATTAGAATTTTTATTCTTCTGGTTTTGAATGACAGAAAATGTTCTCTTTCAACTCTAAGATGACTCCAGTATCTCTGTAAATGAAAGTGAGTCACTAATAATTTGAAACAGAATCAGCTACTATTATTGCTACGTTTATCGGAAGTTTATATGATTTAAGAACATGTGTATTATACTGATGAGCAGTAGTCACTGACAGTCATTATGTCAGAAAATGGTATAATGACGGCAGATGAAAAGGAGCAGCAAGTTTAAGAGAGAGACAGATCTGGTGTTCGTTAAATAGGTCTATTTAAGTAGATGATGAAGATCGAAGATATGAAGGTGAGAGATATCTTACTCCTCAATTAATGTGCTTAGCAATTAACTGTACTGGGTTTAGGACTTCATTAAGAATGCTTACTCCCAGGCAACTTACTGAAGACCGATTTAGTTGCTAAATTGTAAGTGATGATCCGAGTGGGTCCCTAAGTTAATTTATATGGCACAGTTGGATGTTGGAATTGAGCTGACAGCCAGCTGTAGGTGCCAACTCAGATCAAGAGTGACGTTCTAGCCGAATTCCAACATCTAACAGGATGTCAAATGTCACTTTACAGTTTTGTTCACGGATGCTGACGATCTGCTGACTGATGATGTCTTTTTCTTCAGCCAGCAACTGATGTGATTGATTTATTTACACACATTTTGCACAACGTCTTAATCCAGTAGTATTGTGCAGTGCTCAATATTTTACAAATATAGATTTAAAGATCATGCACTGAAGTACCTGGATCTAGTTATAAAAATGAGATAAGCGACCTTAGGAAAGGTGGCTTTTCTCGATAATTCATTTTTAGGCCACATTAAATATCTCTGTATGGTCCACAGATGGTCACTCTACCGACAAACTCAAAGGATAATCCAGCGATGACTTCTGTTTCTCGATGACTTTATTTTTGAAAGGCGTACAAACATATTTATACACACCACGAACACATTACTGTCTTCTACTGGATGTATTGGTATAGTCGCATAATTAGTGTGATGGTGAAGCTCTGGTAAAGAGCCAGAAAATAGCTGCATAATAATTTGTCAAATAACGCCAACAACGAGGAAAGAAAAAATTTTGAAAAGTTGAAAATTTCTAGTGGATGTGAAATGTGGTAGTTGGATTTTTACTCAGTCAATGTAGATAGAGAATATGAAGAAATGCACAAAGTAAATTTTGAAGATAATAATAATAAGCTAAGTGATGATATCGCACTCGATAAAAGAAAGAACAAAGTGAGGAAGAATGTTGTCACTTGTATTATTCCGTCATTGGTTGGACCGAATTAATCAATCTCTGTTGGCTTATGGACTTCTGAGAGAAAGCCTCGATATTATTTGTGTTTCAGTTATTCACTGATGATGGCTAACGGCTAGCAGTGGAATCTAGTACTCGCGTTTCGTCCTATTTTGGCTCATCAGCTGGATAAACCTGCCTCTTAGCGAGCCATGTTGTTCCCACTACGAATTGAAGCTGGAAATGATCACTTCAGATGCCACAGCGTTATCCACTTAAATACTGAGTCAAGACAGCCACTTGTTTTTCGGCGGGTTCGAACCCTGGTGGAAAAAACATCGCTTGCTTAGAGACAGGTATGTCCAGCTCACGAGTTCTAAATAAGATTAAACCCACGTCTTTTATTCCACTGCTTGCTACTACTGATCGTTAATATAAATTGACGAGGGGCTAAGACAGTGGATAGTTGAGAGATTTAACACGCCCATTGTGCACACAGAAATTAGACTTGAGTTCAGGAATTTTCAGTGTTTCTGCTATGCACAACTTTCGGAAGCATACTCCTTTCGAATTACATCCCTTGATTCTGTACATAAAATTGAAGAGGCCTTCTAGTAGAGCTATGCATCAAGAGCTAACCAAATGTTCAACAATGAAATAAGTAGTTGACTAGAATTCCCTTTTTGGTGACTATGTGGAATACTGCCCAGAGATATTTCTGGAAATGGCACGTTTTTCGCGTCCTATATAATTAGCTCAAAAGGAGAAAATAAATTTTTTGACACAAATCAAAGAAGTTAAAACTGATCTGTTGTCCCCAGCATTCTTTGAAACCATCTTTCAGCCACAAAAATCAATCTTCGGTCTATCAGATGTAATTATTCTCCTCATTGGTTTGTGCTGTAATCCATCTTCATTGTTCGACCATCTCAGGTACTTTTCAAATGAAACTGAGCATACTGATAAGTTGAGTTCTTTTGATAACCTCACTTGAAGATATTTTTCTTCGAACATGCAAGATTTGCACTGTACAGTTTTATTCAGGATTATTCCTTCAGCCTTAAGAAAATGTTGACACCATTTTGTGTAAAGTTTGCAATTAGGAGTTTGATTAGGATTATCGTCATATGCTCACGAAAATAAACACCATGAAGGTGCGTAATAGGTTGAAATTGGAGCATTATTTGACGGACAGTCGGCATTACTGAACAACTAATCACTATGACCACCATTTTGAAATACAAATCATCAACTTCGCTGGAGGACACTATCTCCGACACCGCTTTCACCGCAAATTCGTTGCTAGTTAGCAAAACTAGGCACTGTTTTCTACAGATTAGGAAGTTCAAATAAAAATTGACAGTCTTGATAAAAATCGGGAGACACAGTTTTGAATTAGATCATTTAGATATCTCTCCAAATATCAACTACGAAGGTAAGTTCAAGTAGCGACCAACAGTCAGGGATAGCAATTCACAAATAGTTATTAAAATAATCACGTCTAGCGCTATCTTAGCGATAAAGCTTAAAATGAGGAGCCAATAACTATTCGACTGATTGCAAATACTGTGACTCCACCACATGCGAACAAATTATTTAAAACGGGTTTACTGATCAGATGGATGCGAAATTTCATTAATTTTTTTTCACGTTTGGCATGGTCATAGACTGCTGGGCTGCTTGCTTATGTAGGCATGCTACTATGTGTGCTGTGTGAATGAATTTGTTCCGAAATTATGAAATAGTCCACGAAGTTTCTGACATGAAACGATTATATGAAATAATTGAGTGACAGTTTGACTGTAACTAATCAATGGTCTCTATAAAAGTAACCAACTAGGAAAAGTGAATGACAGTGACGAAATATGCATTAGTGAATTGAGAATTTCAGTATCTGTAAGCTTAAATTTCACATCCACACTTAATATTACATTGAATAGATCATTAGGTCTTTGCATATGGAGTACTGACCAAAAAATCAAATTCCATTTGTTTACAAAGGTAAAGTATAACAACTCTTCGATACAAGCCAAATCTCCTTGTTGATAGGAGCCAACCAACAAGAAATATGCGTTATACTTATCTTCCTGTCAAGTGACTTCTAATATGTAATATCCACGTTGTATCAACTGCAGATGTGGATTGAAACGCTTCTTACTTCTGCGAAACTATTTAAAGCAATGATAGTAGTTGTGATGATACAAAGAGATAACTCTGAGCAATATAGAAGAACTTAAGAGAAAATTTGTGAACTTCGACAGTCAGTGCTAATTGCTGATCTCCAGTTTTGTCACACGAACTTCGTGATAACTTCCAACGATGAGTTTCTTGAAGATAAATAATCAAGACTTATTCTGAAAAATATAAAAACCTATTTCATGTTGATCTACAAGAGCAGGATGAATATATAAAAGTGGATATCTGTTTACAGAAGTTAGAGAAATCGGAATATAACAGAGACAACAACAATAAGAATTTCTGAGCAGATATTTACAGAGAAAGCATAACTTGTCAAAGAATCAAGTGACAATTGTGTCCTGTATGCTGGAACTGTTAACCGACAGTGTGATTAATCAAGGCTTTCTTCTATGGAAAAAGCTCATTTAAGTACCTTATTTTTATTTGCAACCTACAAACACCGCTTATGTCAAAATGCGAACACGAATCGTAAATAAAATACACCAGCGTTCGGAGATAATAATTCAGTAAATTTCATTTGAGTAGCAGATGAATGCATTCCGATCATATATCGTCGTTGTGCTAGGTGTTCGTGATGAAGTCAAGAAGAAGAACACTAAAACTCCAACCATAGTTATTCTCCAAGAAGTATAAAACTAAATAACTCGGAATGAATTGGATCGTAGCAGAACTTAGAGGCGGATCAGTATTGCAATGAAAATATCTCCATGATAATAAGCGTCAAACAGGTTTGTCTGCGACTTGATATCACAAATATTAATCAACAAAAGTAGTAATAAGCAGATAGAACCGAAAAGTACTCAAGCTCTTTGGTGGCTAGTAGTATGTAAGGAAGCCGTATACGAAATAACGGGGAAATTCATTGTGACACTGTTTACAATAAAGTAACTTGAAATGGATTATTTT